CTAAGTGTTCCACGATGGCCTGGACTTGCTATGTAGCCAAAGCTGACTTTGAACTTCAGATACTCTTGACTTTACCCCCTAAGTTCTGGAACTACAAGCATATACCACCAACCTAGCATGCCTTCCTATTATCAGAGCTTCCTAGTTTAGAGAGAAAACCATAAATGAAGTAGGAAAATAAGATTCTATTTATAAAAACAAGTTTCCTATGTTACTTAGATACCTCAAGTGCAAAGAAATTGTGGATCTAAAAAAAAAATACTGTGGCTCCTTAAAAGCTAAGCTAAGCTCCTAGAGTTATACCCAGAAATAGATGGCTGATGAGCTCTGCCTTTTGCTGCTTCTCTGCTGACATAAGCAACTGAAGAATGTAGAAGCAATGTGCTTGAAAATGAGTAGCCTATAGTCAGGCATGTGGAGGCCAGGAAAGTTTTCAAACAGCTCCAAATGTAGTTGGCGCTGAATAAAATCCTAATCATGGATCTATTTTTGCAATGGGAGCAGGCAACATGGCCTTTGTTGAACGAGTAAATGTGTTACTTTCTCGCTTTCAACCAGCTTCTTGATTTTCTCACTTTTTTTTCTAGTAGAAACAGGACAGTTGAGTGATTATTAGTATAAAATGTGGCATCAGTTCACCAGAGTTAGAATCTGACTGTAGGCAAGTTCAAAAAATTCAGTTTCCTTATCAGTGAAATGGGAGTTGATATGTCTGCTCAACAGGCTCCCAAATTGGGTCATCAGATAGTCAATCTAATCCCTGAGAGGTGATAGGATCATAAGGGCGAATCAGTGGGTTGATCAATTAATGGACTCATAAATTGATGGACTTTTTGGGAGGTGATAGACACTTTAGGATGTAGGCCCCAGTTTGATAAAGTAGAACAATAGACACACTTTAGTGGCTCTCTCTTCTCCCAGAACCATCTTTTTTTTTTTGGTTTTTTTTTTTTTTGGTTTTTTCGAGACAGGGTTTCTCTGTGATTTTGGAGCCTGTCCTGGAACTATCTCTTGTAGACCAGGCTGGTCTCGAACTCACTGAGATCCGCCTGCCTCTGCCTCCCAAGTGCTGGGATTAAAGGCATGCGCCACCACCGCCTGGCTCCCAGAACCATCTTTGAAGCTGCTTTACATCCACCATGAGATGAGCAGCTCTGTTTCTCCATACTTAATTGCCATGGTTTTCCAACTCACTGTGGGTCCAGAAACAAGAAAACCAGTCAACCATGGAATATAATTTTTGAAACTCTGAACCGAAATCATTCTCTCTTCTGTAAAATATTAAAGACCCTGGGAAAAAAATTAAAGGTTTTTAGCTGAGAAATTCCAATTTTAGTGTGTTTGGTGAATTTATCCTATTATTGTCAAGCTTGCCATCAATCTGTGATTTTCATATCATTCAAAAGCGAAACTATTTTTCTTATTGTTTCTCCTTTATATGATTTATTCCAGCACTGGGTGATTAAAGCGACTCCTTAATTTCTTTAGAAGTTGTGTCTTCAACACGATGCACTGTGTCTCTCCTGGGATATATAAGAATGCCTCCCAACTGGTTTCTTAACACACAACCTGTTAAATTAATTTTCCTACGGTTTTGGATATAAAACCACCACAGTTAAGCTAGGGATTAGTGCAGTAACAGCAGCATTGGCTATAGATGAAATTGTGCCACTGTTTTGTAGACTTGCTACATCCCCCTGTGTAGTTAATAGAGTTGCTGTGTCTTGCTATGCGACAAATACTGAGGGACCCATGAAACATATAACCATCTATGCAATGAGAATGTATTTTACAAAGGAAAAGCAACATTTGTTTTCTTCATTCTCATATTTCTATTGTAATGACAGTGTAGGGCATGAACTAAATCCTCAGTGAGCACTGCATGAAGGAATAAATGAGATAATGAATGGAATTGTATCACAGATGCCTCTAATAACCAACATAGTGGATTGGATGTGTAGTGACCAGAAGATGATTCAAAGAGAGTTGACATTGTTACTTGACATCCAATTGCATGCCATGTTCCATTCAGTTCAAGTTGTGTTAATTCAGTCATCCTTTGGCATGTGCAAACAGGGAACTCATTTATAAACTTGAATAGTGTGCATTCAGACATGATTAACAATGTGAGCTGGAAGCAGCATGGCAGCCAGATCCCCTACAGTTTCTAAAGGCAAGAAAGTTGAGAAATTGATGTAAAGAAACAAGAAGTTGCTTCTGCAAAGGAGACAATTCAAAATAGAGCTTAGTCAATGTGTACCGATTTTAGTAGACAGAAACTTGTTTACTGGTAAGCAAGTTGCAGCATATGTTTTAAAGTTTTAAAAAAATGCAGGAAAAACTTCTTGAAATAAACAAATGGTCGTTAAATTGCTAAATGTTATTGCTAAAATATGATTCCAAAACACACACCAAATCCCTACCCCATATACATAAGTATATACATATATGTACATATGCATTAATACACACATTATATATATATACACATACATATATGTATATATATATATTCACAGAGAGTGTGGAGGGGTGGAGGAAGGCAGAGGGAGAGAGGCACACACAAAATCATAGACTGTGATATATACATAGTGAACGAGGAAGGAGGTAATAGTGGTATCTGATAAATTGACACTATGTCTGCTTTACATATAGGCAACAGCAGCAAAGCTCCTTCACGGAGTGTGGATGGCATTCTGAAAATGGAGCATGACACTAACAAATAAGAGTTGGTGGCTAAAAGACAAGAACTCCTGAGTAAATTAGGAGCATGGGGACCATGGGAGAGGGTTGAAGGGGAGGAGAGAGGGAGGGAGGGGAGCAGAGAAAAATGTATAACTCAATAAAATCAATAATAATAATAATCTTAAAAGAGATGGTGGCTAAATTATTCAAAAGAAGTCATATGTCAACATATGTGACTATGCTTAGGAGTTTAACTTTGTACAGGAAGACCTACCTCTAGACAATGAGGTTGCTTAGGAGTTCTCAAAGGAAAAGAAAATTTAAGAGGTCGGAAATAAGTTAGTTCTATAAGCTTGAAATGCGAATATGCTACAGACCGGAATGAAGTCCTAAAGTAACCAACCATGCCATTTTCTCTTTTCCAAATAGTAGAAAAGTATGTCTGTCTACATCCTCATTCCTGGGAATAACACAAGAGAGGTAAGTGAAGCCCCAGGAGACCAGGTAGGTTGCCTAACGCTCTGTGCTAAGCAAGTGATCACATGTTCCCTTTGTGAACTAGCAGAGATTCTCTTTTCTGAACAAGTGGAAAAAATTCCTGCTCCTCCTACCTTTCCACATCTCAGGAAAGACAACAACATCTGCTATGAGATCCAGCAGCTTGCACTTAGGAGATAACTGTGTCAAAATAGTAAGAGTTCACCCATGCAGGTGCTGTGGGTCAGGGAAGTGCAGATGGTAACTAAGGGCTCATAAAGGTCATCCCCAACAGAGGACAACTGGAAAGATCCAGACTGGGAAAACTGAGGTTTTGCTCTACCTAAACCAAGGGTTGCCTGGCAAACGTTGAATTACAAAGGCGGACTTAAATAAAAAGCGAAAGAGCCTACAATGCCAGTGTTTCTAAGTAAACTCAAATGCCCTCTTATACGGTCCTGACCGTTTTCAAGGCACAGGCACTGTTCCCTCCATCCAGCTTCTCATCTCTGACCTAACAGAGGATATGAACTCTGTCTTTGCAAAGCCCCCACAGTCAAGACAGGAGAGGGTTTCAGAAGCAAAACAATCTCCATGGGAAAAACTCCAATTTAGTATGTTTTGGATAGAAGGGACACAACTCAGCATATTCAAGACTGTTGGGTCAAGTTGATGAGTAGGTGGGGAATTCTCTAGTAAAACGGTGTTTTGTTTTGTTTTGTTGGGGCTTTGTTTCATCTCGCTCCCTTCATACAACAGACCTCTATTCTGTTTTATGTAGCCCAACTATTTATAACTTCTCTATCACCAGCTCTAAATCACCAACCATCGCAGCATGAATTTCACTAGTTAGGTTGTGTCTGTGTGTAGGAGACCTGATTGAAGAAACAGGTTAACTATACTAGATGAATATGGATATAAATGTTCGGTAATGCTTTGTTACCTAGCCCCTCTGAGGTTATTTCTTTTACTCTACAAGGGCTGCACCAGCATCTGGTTCCACTGTGTAGCCCTACCTTCTTAAATACATAGGTGCACACACCCTTGCTTTTTTCCCTGCTGGTTATGCAGCTGATGGCTGAAGAGAAACAGGCTCTGGACAAAGACTTTCCTCTGGCTATCCCGGCCAGGGAGAAAGAAAAGATCTGGGTTATTTCACGGATTCATTAGGAATGAGCTTCCCACCCTCCCTCCTCTGTATCTCATCATGTTCTGTCTGCAAAATGAGGAGTTAGGGAGACAAAGCCCCGCCGTCTTCCTCATCTAACATTACTTTAAGTAGGAAAGTTAAAATTATAAGAGAAAACAAAAACCATGGAAGAAAACCAGTGTTGGGCAGAAAGAAGCAAGCAACTACAAACTAGCTTCTAGGTGTTCTTTAAAAGGAAGCTGTTATAAAGGTGTAGAATGGTCGGGAAACTGCTCTCTGGCCTTGGTGGGTTGTAGAACCAAGAAACCTTGGGTTGGCGCCAAGTTAACAGTCCTAGGCCCCGCAGGGGGCCAGGCCCAAGTTTTGGAAAACAGAGTCAAAGTCAGGGGCTATTGTGGTCCAGACAGAAGCAGAAAGACACGACAGGCAGGTTTCCTTCCTGCCTCGCTCTTATCTGAGGGTGCAGAAGGCAGTAGAAGCATGCCTGGGGTGCAGGTGAGGCTTGTCTACCCTAAGCGGGCCATGGGCTCCAGTTCCCCTCGCTTCCCAACTAGCAGCTTCCCACCCCCACTCGTTCCCACTCCAGCGCTCTGGCCCCCTCCTGCTCCTCCCTCAGCACCTCCCCGGCCCCGCCCACGCTCTCCCACTCGGCCTGAGACTGAGTCAAAAGTAGCCCAGGACCTGAGCCTGCAGCAGCCTGTGAAAGGAAGACAGGGAGAAAGTTAAGTGCAGCTTGGACGAACGAGATCCCCTCCTCTTCCAACCTGCAGCCCAGGATACTGATTCGAGCCGCGCCTTACCGCGCAGCCCGAAGATTCACCATGGTGAAGATCGCCTTCAATACCCCCACGGCGGTGCAAAAGGAGGAGGCGCGGCAAGATGTGGAGGCACTCTTGAGCCGCACCTTCCGAGCTCAGATCCTGACTGGCAAGGTAGTTCCCACTCGGCCTAGGTCGGCCTGCTGGAGTTTGGGAATGGGGAGAGAAGGGAGGGTATGCAGGTGCAGAGGTCAAAATGTTAGGTGTCCCATAGTCCTCGCGTTCTAGGCAGGCCAACTGTAAATTGCATGGGCCACCTTTTGCTCCGCTTCGACTCATGACCCTCTGCATCCTTACAATTCCATCCCTTAACACCACCTATCCCAGGAAATTGTTGGAAGGAGTTTGAAGAAATTCCTCCATGTCATTTTGTTCTGGGAAATGGGTTATGGTATTAGCCCGAGACACAATTATAGCTACAGGGAATGAGCAGCCACATGGGGTGAGCAAGGGCAAGAGACTTAACTGTTCTTTCTTTACTTTTGACTTGAGTGAAATTGTGTGAATCTGTATCTTTGTAGGATTGCTGATTTGGGAAACAAGGGGCGGCCTTAACTTCAAGCTGTATGGGTTGGGGCAAGTTGTGTGTGTCTGTACAACACATACACACACACACACACACATTTGTGTGTATTTTTAGGTAGACACTGTTAACGGTTAGGTAATGGAGCTGTCAGAAACATATATTGGATTTAATTCTTGGCCAAACTCTTGTAAAAATAAATTTTGAGATTCTCTTTTTTGTTCTTTTGGTTGTTATTTCTTCTTGAGCAATATCCCACTCCCCTCTTACAGATTCAGAAGCATTTCCAACGTTGCAATTTAAACAGCTCATTTTCCATGCACTGGAGAGGTTCTCTCTTCCCAGGTTGTTTGTCTAGTTCAATATATATATATTTCTTTTAAAAACCATCGGCTTTTGGAGTGTTGATAAACTATCATTTTTTTTTTCCTCAGTAAAATCTCAATTTTAAAAGGCGACCATATTTTCTTCTGCATCTGTGGAATCTGCAGGAATGGGACTTGATCTGCTCTAACTTGTCCTGTTGTCTTTAGAAAGTTTTCCCTTTTAGGTTTAGAGTGGCTATTTGAAAAGCGTTTGAGTGAGCTGTGAGTTCATGTAATAAAATGTAATTCTGCATACAGTTTGAGATGTTAATGCGCTGCTGCAGAACTTCCATCGTGGAAACTTTCAATATTGAACGCTGCAATCAAACTAGCTTTTGTGTGTCACACATTCTGGAACTCAAAAGCAACACCCCCTTGCAATGTTGAGGTTTTAATTAAATGACAGAAGGTCAAATATGTAGTTGTCTTCCTACTAACTTTATAAATGAACCATGGCCAGATTTGAGGGGAGGTCTAACTAGATGCCAGTAGTTAAAAATAGCCACACAGTAATCCTTTTTTTCCCCTCACCACCAAAAAACTTCATGAGTTGTAGAAAGATTCAATTAATATGTAATACTTTGGTCAGTCCTGTGGTGAGATGAGGAATAAATAAAAACAAATATCTCCTCTTTGATTTTATTTCTTTGTTAGGCTTTAGAGAAGCCGCAATAGAACCCTAGCATGGCCTCTTTGACAGTACTACTTGCCTTATCACATTGTGATACAGGGATTAGGCCTGATCAACAGAGATTGAACATGTTGAACTCATATTGGCAAATGATATGCAGTAACTTTTAAAATACACTTTGAAAAGAAATTAGCTATGATAATTGATTCATTCAGTTACGTTGAATTCCAACAGTGTTAAATGAAAACAAAAGAAATCCTTATTCTTACTGACCAGGCATGTCCACCTAAACCAAGACCCTCATACTTTAGCCATGCTTAATGATAAACTTCCTGAATTATTGGAAAAGAGAAATGAAGTTACAGTACAAATTGTTCTTCTGTCTCAGTAATAAGAAAAAAAAATCATTCCTCAAAGAATTTCAGATTAAGCTATTATGTGCTTTTTAGCAAGTCATTTCATCTTTCTGTGCCTAAATTTAATTATCTATAATATGCCTTCTAAAAACCCACAACTGTATTACAGTAATTAGTAGTCCAAATTTAAAATTTGGTTTCTGTACTACTAAATATTAATTTAGATTTTTAACGAAAACAATTAAGGTATTTCAGTATGTGTTGAATATAATTGATGAAATAAGCTTAATTAAATTATTAAGAAAATATAAATTTCAAATTTTGACCTTTAAAAAATATATTTATTTTTTGAACAAAAATTATCAAATGATTCTCTACCCTTCCTTTCTTGCACATTGGCATACATTTTTCACCAAATTGTCTTAAGATCAGTTAAATGTCCAAAACAGCAATTTCATGAAAAATTCTAATGGTAGACAAACTAAAATAATTTTTAATACCAACTTGTATTGTCAGGGCTGAGATTTGCTGCCTTCACTTATTCTCTTGCTGAGTAATAATGTGGCTGAGGGGTATATTGTGACAAAAAAATTGAAATAGTAGGCCTTTTAGTTCCATGCCCTATGGAGGGTGCAGTTAATCAGTTACTTTTTGTTTTGAATTTTTCTTTAGAATCCGTCAGCAAATTATTGATTTGACAGAACATTTAAATCACTGCTTCACAAACAGCTCTGTATGTAGCAAATCCTCTGCTTTTAAATTTAGCGTTTACACTAGGACTTGGAAAATAGCATTATTGCAGTATATAGACTAATGGACAATACCAGGAAGCTTTATATTTAAAAATAAAGTTAGGAATATTAGAAAATATACAATTAACTTCAATTAATTTCTAAAATGAAATAATTCCTTTCTAACTTGACAATAAAGCTTCTTGAAAAGTAGCCAACAAATTGAAGGTTACTAGCACTCCTTTAAGCTGATAAATTGATTTCAAAGCAAGTAGCAAAGTGTCTATTTCTATAGACTAAAAAGCCAGTGTTTATAAAACTATAACTAGTTTAAATTATTTAAAGAGCATACATTTTAAAGACAACCTGCACTATATCATATCTAGTTAAAAATACTCTTTATCCATTAAACATTTGTTTAAAAAGTACATCTATATTAAGTATTTTTATTAAAAATATGTCATTCTATAAATTAATGGTTATTTTAACATTCTACAAGTACATATTTTAAAATAACATATCTATATTTAATTTTGAAAATGCTAGAAGGAAGGCTAGCGTTAGTGGAGATATTCTATATATATTAGCATCAGAAACTGTCTTCAAATGACTTAAGATTAGTTTGTTTTCAAAATATTTTGCGTTTCAGGGGTGATAAGTTGCACACAGAAGCAACTGTCTAAAAACATTATCTTTTTAATTTTGTTTCTAATCAATAGGAGCTCAGAGTTGCCCCGCAGGAGAAAGATGGCTCTTCCGGGAGATGCATGCTTACTCTCCTAGGCCTCTCCTTCATCTTGGCTGGGCTAATTGTGGGTGGAGCCTGCATTTACAAGTACTTCATGCCTAAGGTAATAATTATAGCTCTTACTATTTGGAATTACTAATTCCCGTGTATTTCATTAGCAACCTAAATAATTATGTGGTGGTAACCAGAGAAATGAAGACTTGAGGAATGTTTTCAATTACCTTTCACTCTCTGCCATTGCTTAGATTTCATAATGCTGTAACAAACAAGTCTCAGGTTAACACGGTACATGAGTGTAAGAGACAATTCAGGTGTCATGGCGATGAATATTGCAAAGTCTTAAACTTCCCTTTTGTCTCTTAGAGCACCATTTACCACGGTGAGATGTGCTTCTTTGATTCTGAAGATCCTGTGAATTCCCTCCATGGAGGAGAGCCGTATTTCCTGCCTGTGACCGAGGAGGCTGATATCCGTGAGGACGACAACATTGCAATCATTGATGTACCCGTTCCCAGTTTCTCAGATAGTGACCCTGCGGCAATTATCCATGACTTTGAGAAGGTGGATTTTTCTTTCTTGTAGTTATTCAAAAATTTTCTCTAGTCCTTCTTTACTGAAAGACAATGAATTTATTCATAAATGAACACCGTTTTGGAGCCAAACCTTTTCATTGTGTTGTTGTTGGGTAGGCGTAGTAAATTTTCAAAAAAGATCTGGCTGTTTGTTCTGATGGTACGTGAAAATCTGAAGTATTAATACGCATCGTTTTTCACCTCCCCAACAGGGAATGACTGCTTACCTGGACTTGCTTTTGGGAAACTGTTATCTGATGCCCCTCAATACTTCCATTGTTATGACTCCAAAGAATCTGGTGGAGCTTTTTGGCAAACTGGCAGTATGTATTTCAGAGATCATTTTTTTTCTTATAAGCACTTCCAAATAATTTTGCATCATTATTCCAAAAAGTTAATGAATTGGGCCAGACATTCCATCTCGTTGAAATATTTTTTTTAATTAAAAGTGTAAGCTGTGCCAAAATAGATGGAACTGAGGAATTTTATGTTAAGCAATGTAAGCCAGTCAGACAGACAAATGCTTTATGTTCTTCATATATAGAAGCTAAAAGTGTTCACTTGAACACACAACACTGATTAATAGAAGTTGAGAAGGGCATGTATGTAGGGGGAGGTGGATAAAGAGAGGTTGAATTTCATCAATGCATGCTGTGTGTATGTGCAAATAGCACACTGAACTTGAAACTCATAAATGTATATATGTATAATAAAAATAGTATATAAAACTGCTCTTAAATGAATTCTATTTTAATAATGTCTATTTTTAAAAGGATGTAAGTGGGAATTTTAATACCGTCTTTAAGAATTTATTGTCTTAATTTTTTTTCTTTGCACTTTTAGAGTGGCAAGTATTTGCCTCACACTTATGTGGTTCATGAAGACCTGGTTGCTGTGGAAGAAATCCGTGATGTTAGTAACCTTGGTATTTTTATTTACCAACTTTGCAACAACCGAAAATCCTTCCGCCTTAGACGCAGAGACCTCTTGCTGGGTAGGTAATTTATTATTTTTGGGTGAGCAGAAGAGAGTGAGGGTAGACTGCATGGAAATGAGCATGTTGAAATACCTCTTCATGGACACAGACAACTAAAAAGCCATCTTTTTGTGTCTTCACAGGTTTCAATAAGCGTGCCATTGACAAATGCTGGAAGATAAGACACTTCCCCAATGAATTTATTGTTGAGACCAAGATATGTCAGGAGTGAAGAAGGGCAGATAAAGAGTATCCTTGGTAATAAGAAGTCAGCAGCTTACAGTGTGACTTTAGTAATGGGATACTCATGATATTTACTCATACATTTACTCTATTGCTTATACTGGAAACGGAAGGGGGGGGAGAAAACTACTAACCACTGCAAGCCATTGTCCAATTCAAGTTTAATTGACATCGCTTGCTGTTTGCAACAAATTAAATGATTATCTTTTTTGAATTTATAGGGTTTAGATTCTGAAAGCAGCATGAATATGTCATCTAACATCCTGACAAAGTCCATCCTCTGTTTTTATTTAAAGCAAGCTCCTGATAAAATCATATGGATAGAGCATGCTTTAAATTTAAAATATTTCAAGTTCTTTTTGACATTTTTGTGTGAAGCATGTCAAATCTCTTAACATTTTTTTGCTTCATTCTTCATTTTGTTCATTTCTCCTGACTTTAGAGATTACATTTTTTGCATTTCTATCAGGTGCTCTGTAAAGAATCTGACTCATATGTGAACAATAGTCATGAGGAAGTAATTTTTTACGCATGTAATGATTCTTTCTCACTGATATCTGTGTTGTGAAATCCACAAAGCTGTACAGGTGCTGAATGCTGTAAGGAGTTCTGGTTGTATGAATTCTACAACCCTATAATAAAGTTTACCATATTCAATCATGTTTTATTTTCATCATTTGACAAATACTTAATGTGGAAATTATTATTTATTTGGCTTTTGGTTACAGAAATCAGACATAAAATTATGAACATAACTGTATCCATTACCACTTCTACATATTTACATATTTATATTTCACAATCTCACATTTCCCCATTTTCATTCTGTATTAATTGCTTTTTAAGTATCTTACAATTTTCTTGTTATGTAAATTCAACTACTTATAGAGAGTCTTCAGCTCAGAACAATTTAAGGCATTTTAATGGTTTTTCTTTTTCATAGAAACATAAACAACCATATGCAGCTATATCAGACCACCAAAGACTAACACTGAATAAGACATTGAGACTTAGTTAAGTTAAATTAATTTATTCAGTGTGTGGGTATGCAGCAAAATGAGTATGTGGAAGTCAGAGGACTCCTTTGTTGAGTAGATTCTCCCCTTCCTCCTTGACACTTGTGCTGGGGGTGGAACTCAGGTCCTTGGATTGTAAGGCTTGTCGAGGCCTGTGCTTTGGCATCTGGAACACTGGTTCAACACTAATGATTTTTAACAATGCCACAAGCCTGACATCTTTACACATTTATCTACGAGTATAAACTCCGCACCACATGGGCCAGTATTATAATTTCTCTTCTATTTGTTGATAGTGACTATTGCTCAATTTCTGTGGACTAAATTCCCAGTTCAATCGAGGGCTTTAAAATATTATTATTTTAAAATAAAGTTAAAAACAAATCTTTAACTTTATAAATTCAGAAGCAATGATACACACTGAAAGAAAGATATAGGAAGAGAATAAAGGTCCAATGGTTAAGAAGCAACCAGAACTGTTATGTTCAAGAACTGGTTCTCAGCTGGACACAGAGAAATGCATCTGTGCAACCAGCTACTCTGGCAGCTGAGGGAGAAAATAGCCTAGGAATTTAAAAACATCATAGGCAACATACAGAAACTGTGTCTCCAAAAGAAAAAAAAATCAATAACAAAGACAAAAGGATAGCCCTGGAAACAGATACAAGTAACATTATACAGATTAAACAAGTCATATTTAGAAATATATTTAGGAATACACATATACAGATATGCATGAATAACAATTAGTGTAAAAAGTGGCCATGGATTTGAAGGAGGATTTGGAGGGAGGAAAGGAAAACAAAATAATATTATATTCTCAAATATTTTGAAAAGACTGAGGGGGAAAAGGAAAAAGTAGTGAAAAGAACTGATTCTTTTTTTTTCTTTTTTCTTTTTTATTGAGAAAAGGAAAAAAAAAGTTTCCGCCTCCTCCCAGCCTCCCATTTCCCTCCCCGTCCTCCCACTCCTCTCCCCCTCCCTCTCTAGTCCAAAGAGCAGTCAGGGTTCCCTGCCCTGTGGAAAGTCCAAGGTCCAACCCCCTCCATCCAGGTCTAGGAAAGTGAACATCCAAACTGGCTAGGCTCCCACAAAGCCAGAACATTAAGTGGGATCAAAACCCCGTGCCATTGTCCTTGGCTTCTCATCAGCCCTCATTGTTCGCCATGTTCAGAGAGTCCGGTTTTATCCCATGCTTTTTCAGTCACAGTCCAGCTGGCCTTGGTGAGCTCCCAATAGATCAGCTCCACTGTCTCAGTGGGTGGGTGTACCCCTCGTGGTCCTGACTTCCTTGCTCATCTTCTCCCTCCTTCTGCTCCTCATTGGGGCCTTGGGAGCTCAGTCCAGTGCTCCAGTGTGGGTCTCTGTATCTCCATCCATCACCAGATGAAGGTTCTATGGTTATATACAAGATATTCGTCAGTATTGCTATAGGATAGGGTCATTTCAGGTTCCCTATCCTCAGCTGCCCAAGGAACTAACTTGGGGACATCGCCTTGGGTTCCTGGGAGCCACTCTAGGTTCAAGTCTCTTGCCAACCCTAAGGTGGCTCCCTTAACTAAGAATTGTGCTTCCGTGCTCCCCTATCCAACCTTCCTATATCCCAATCATCCTGTTTCCCCAAGTTCCCCCCATCCTCCCCTTCTCACTTTTCTCTCCCCATCTCGCCTTACCCCCATCCCACCCCACCCCCAAGATCTCAATTTTCTCCCCGGCAATTTTGTCTACTTCCCATAGCCAAGAGGATAACTATATGTTTTACCTTGGGTTCAACTTCTTACTCAGCTCCTTTATGTTCACCAATTGTAGACTCCGTGACCCTTTTTTATGGCTAGAAGCCAATTATGAGTGAGTACATCCCATGTTCATCATTTTGGGTCTGGGTTACCTCACTCAAAGAACTGATTCTTTAAAATAAGGAGAAGCCAGGTGGTGGTGGTGGTGCACACCTTTAATCCCAGCACTCGGGATTCAGAGGCAGGCAGGCTGCCAGGCAGATCTCTGTGAGTTCGAGGCCATCCTGTTATACAGAGCGAGTTCCAGGACAGGCTCCAAAGCTATACAGAGAATCTCTGTCTTGAAAAAAAAAAAAAAAGAACGAGAAGGGACGAAGAGGTGGCTTAGCATTCAAGAGCACTGGTTGCTCTTTCAAGGAACCCAGTTTCGATTCCCAGCCTCCACACAGCAGCTCACAATCATCTGTAAGTACAGAGTCAGGGAATCCAATCTGGCATACTCCCTTCTTGTGGCCACCACCGGCATTAGGCACACTAGTGGTACACATGTAGGAAAACACCTATATACACAAAAATAAAACTTTATAATAGAAAGATAGGGTACAAGATTTAAAAAATAAAAAAGAATATTTACAGAGAACTTGATGAAGTTCAACAGTCTTCTTCAAAAAATTGATTAATTATATAATATATGCTAGATTATATAATACAGTATATATTATTTATGTTGGAAAAGTAAATGCATTATTTTCAAATTCTATATAGTCAATACTAGATTATATAATACAATATATATTATTTATGTCAAAAAAGTAAATGCATTATTTTAAAATTCTTCATGTTTCTTGGTGAGTCCCAAAAAACAATGGTTGTTTTTGTACATATTCAGTGTTGTTCCTGACATGCTAGCCCATGTGATTATATATAAGATAAATATATCATTTTCAAAGATTCAGAGAGAATGAACATGTGTTTGCTAACAGATAAATTTTTCCAAACACTAGAGACTAGTTGGTCAAATAAAATTTATACAATCATTAATCATGATAAAAACAAATGAATGACTTCCTTTCATACCATTAGTTTTATTCCACCCACTGCACTCAGTAGCAACAGAAATATAAAGAAAATTTCTTTTTATTTGGAAGTAAATGAGAAATCTTAGTTAAAAGACATAAATTAAGGATTTTGTGCAACTAAAAAGAGAAGACAGAACATAAAAAAAATCTTCTCAAATTAATTTGTTTAACCTCATCCCAATCAAAATGACAGAAATATATAAGCTTTAGAACTTTTCAAAATTATTTTAAAGGTTTTCTAGAAGCATAAATAGTTGAGGACAGATAAATAAGCAAATACAATTAATTAGAGACAAAGATATCTTACATTAATAGCCAATGAATCACTGCTAAACATACAATAATTCTATCAACTACTTTCATACAAGTTAGAAAAAAATAAATAATGCCTGTGAATGAAATACAATCACATAAAACACCATGTTTGAATACAAGCATCCATAGAACTTTGTCTTTTACATCAAATTTTGTTGAAAAGGGGTTAACTGAAAAAGCAGAAGTTTTTATTGACACATTGTGAAACAACATGACATTCATAGTCATCCACTTCCAGTGTCTCCAAAATATTCATAACTAATGAGTAATTTTAAAAGGGAAATATTTAGAAAATCTAAAAAGTATAAATGAATGTTAATTTGGAGCCAGAATCTGAAACTCAATATGTAAGAGATGTTGGTTCTGTGAGTACCTGAAAATAATTACAGATATGGGGAATCATCTATCTCAGCAGTTTTGGTTTTTTTTTTTCCAAGACAGGGTTTCTCTGTAGCTTTGGAGCCTATCCTGAAACTAGCTCTTATAGACCAGGCTGGTCTCGAACTCCCAGAGATCCACCTGTCTCTGCCTCCTGAGTGCTGGGATTAAAGGCATGCACCACCACCGCCTGTTTCTATCTTAGCAGTTTTTAACCTATGGATCGCAACTCCTTTTTGGAGGGGAGGGAGGTCAAATGACATTTTCACAAGGGTCACCTAAGACCATTAGAAGGCATAGATTATTACATTATAATTTACAACAATAGCAAAATTACAGTAATGAAGTAGCAACAAAAATAATCTTATGGTTGGGTGGGGGGCATCACCATAACATGAGAAACTGTATTAAAGGGTCACAGTATTAGGAAGGCTGAGAGCCACAGGTCTAATAGGCAATTTGTGAGCAGTTTAGGTTCCATAACCTAATACAATGTTTGTTTTCTATTTAATGCCTCTAATATGATTATATATACATTAATCATTGACTGGGTATTGTGCTGCTTATTTAGGGTGCATACTATTCTGAGAAAAACAATATGGACACTCACTATTTTATACATACTCTTATTAAAAGATATTTTTTAATTGTAAAATTTTGTTATAAAGAAAAAATAGGTTTTGTGACTGTGTTGGTGCCCCAATCCCTCCATTTGAAGGATTCTTGCCTGGTTACAGAAGATGGCTGGTTCAGGTTCCATGTCCCCCTTACTAGGTCTTATTGTAGCATATTATGCCTCTTATTTGGTTGATGTCCCTGGGAGAC